TAATCCTTAAGTAATCCACATGACTGCATTCCATCAATTAACGCTGTGTGAAGTCAAATGCTGCATGTAAGAAACAAATCCATCATTAAGGTGTTTTCAGTTTAAACCATAGTTTCTGGCCAAAATACAAGTCCATTCTCCATAATAATGCTTCCTCCGGTGAAAAAGTCCATCCCATGTTGTCCACTCACATCAAAATCTACCAACATTTTTAGAATGGTTTTAGCCGTTTTCACTTGTAAATGGTACTTGTTCTATGCTTATTTCTCTGCTGATTCAGACAAGACTTTTTCACTGGAGATATACGTTTTCACTGCAATATTATTGACTGAGGTCAATATTTATCTGAAAGCAAAGGTTTGAAATGTCTTAATGGATTTGTTTCTTACAAACATGCATCTTTTCACTTCACGAGATGTTAACTGATGGTCTGGAGTTGTGTGGATTACTTGTGGATTATTGTGATGTCTTTATCAGCTGTTTGAACTCTCATTCTGACGGCACCCATTCACTGCAGAGGATCCACTGGTTAGCAAGTGATGTAATGCTACATTTCTCCAAATCTGTTTTGATGAAGAAACCCATCTACATCTTGGATGGCCTGAGAGTGAGTAAATGTTCAACAAATTAAAATGTCTGTGCAAAGTTTGCCTTAGTAAAAAAAATATCCGTTTTAAAAATTAACAATTTTTGATCTGCTGAATATTTTGACATGAGAGATTATTTGATGATAGTATGTCAAAATGATCTTCTACCATAGATAATGTCTGAAATGCCTCCTTTTCCTGCCTCAAACTGACAAGAGGGAAAATACCAGGAGTGATTGATCTGCTACAAAATTAAACTGCATAATTAGCTGTGCAGATTTCCTAGAAAGAAATAATTAAGGAAAGTAGGAAAATGCAAGAAACTGAGATAATATCCAATACACAAGTGTCTTGTCTGTAACAATTCTTACTGTCATTCCTATTCAGATGCTTAGAAACACATTGCCACAGCCCTTGCATATGTAAGCAATTTATGCATCCTATGAGGATTGATCAACACTATAGCATGTGAAATTGATTTACTTGCAACCACAGGCATGACAGGAAAATAAAAGTGTTCAATTGTTTTGACTAATTGCTATTTTACTGTAAAGAAAGGTTCGGTCGATCGTGAGCTAATTTAATTAACTTGAGTAAGGTTCATCTAAGTAGTGCAAGGTTGCTTTGAGTATGGATCTTTTTCTTTGAGGATAGATTATGTTTGTGTGTGTGTGTGTGTGTGTATGTGTGTGTGTCTGCCACAGTCATCGACTTTTTTGATTTCCAGTGATACTAATTTCAGTCCGTGCCTAGTCGCTTAGTGACGTGCCCAACTGAGTCATACAGGCCTCTGGACCTTTTAACACATAATGGGACACGTCAAGAAAGCTGTCTGATTTTTTTTTGCATGGCTGCAGATTCTTGGTAGCGGTGGCATTAAAATGACCGTAGTCCTGCTGAGCAGTTAAACATTCTCATTTACCTTGGACCCTCTTATCACTATTCTGACTCTGGCTCACCGTAGTAGATGACAGGCTGTCCATCATATAAGCACAACCTAATTAATACCAGCACTTTTAAATCGTGGCATTAACGTGATGCTCTGGTTAATGGATTATTGTGATGTCTGAAATTGACCCCGAGTGATTTATTACTCACTTCTTTTCTTTTATGTTTTCACCTTTTTTGTGGTGGCATTTATGTGACAAGAGGTCTGCTAATTTTATAGCTGTGCACTTGTCACGTAAAACAAACAAAACAATTGTAGCTTAATGGTACTGCACAAGTCTAATGTAACCTTTACAAATCCAAGCGACATTTATTGAGCAGAAGCCGTATTGGAGCCATGAGCGAGCTGAGTGCAAGAATTTCTGTAAACATAGTGATTGTCAATCAACCTTTTCCACTACAGAATCATTACACATACAATCCACAGTCGGTTGGCCTTTCTGCCATGAAGATGAAAAATGTCAACCCATCTTCCAGGAAGACGATTGATTGAAATCTTATTATCTTGTGAATTCCTGTTGACTTAATAAACGGATACAAACCAATCACGAAAGCGATTATTTCTTTGACCAGAAGATGTGATACAAGGTGCTATTTTAGAAAACTCCATTCATGATGAGCAGTTCAGACTGAGGATAAACGGATTGATAGGATATATTTAGCACAGATGCAATGTTTGAAATAGTTCTTGGAAAAATGTTAAGAGCTCAGATGTTGTTATAATCGCCATGCGGAACTAGGCAGCCATCCTTCCAGGGACCTCATGTGCCCCCCAAGCCCTAAATCGGCCCTTTCCATCTGCCTCATTATGCCCCCAGCTTTCTTCCGATGTCTCTGTGTATCTAGACAACCAAGTTAACTTCAGAAATGGCTGAAGCTAATTTAATCATAATAATACACAATACACATTACAATCTGTGAAACACTTGGTAGTGTTGGTTTTTCACTTTGGTGTTCTGCATCTACATCTATTGTCACCAGTATTTATTCTTTTAAGTATTATACATGCAGTTTTACCTCATATTATTTGAGAGATTATATTCATACTTTTATGAAAAGTTATTTATACCACACTACAATTTTAAAATAAAACTAAAGACAACATTGTGACCAGTGTTGGGAGTAACGTATTACAAGTAATGCCAGACAGAGGCACTTCCTTCAGCCTGAGGCTTATTCATTTCACTTTTGGTGTGAAAGGATCTTTACAGTTACCAAAAATATAACTTTTGAATTTTTATTATTAAAAATAAATAAGCAAGCCTGGTGTGGGTGACAAAAAGTAAGACAAAAGTAACATAACACATTACTTTCCATAAAAAGTAACTAAGTGATGCAATTAGTTACTTTTTTTATGGAGTAATGCAAGATTGTAATGCATTATTTTTAAAAGTAACTTTCTCCAACACTGATTGTGACAGTGAAAAACTTACAGACCTCAAAAATATACTTTTCCTTATTGATCCCTATAGATTTTAACCATATGCGGAGCGTGTGTAAGGCTTAGCCTTCCCCTGGCCACGGGGACTTGGGGCAAAAATGCCACTAAATTGGACAAAAATGCCCCTGCACAAACAAATTAAATCTATTACGTCTGTTGCTAACAAAGTGAATATGAATAGACAGTGTCGATTGCAGCATTAAATTAAAATCTGCTCATGTTGCACCGTATTTCATTTTAGGCGTTTTTACATTGTTGCGCATTTTAACCAATCAAACACATATCTGTTGAGCTTAGGAATACAGTGGCCAATCAGAAGCGTTCAGATGATTCATCGTTCAAACTCATCAGTTTTGTTGAGTGCGCGCGCGTTCTCTGACTGAATTCCGGGCTCTTGCGAATTTTCTCATCATAAACAACAAAGCGCAGATGTAAGTAGGCTACAATGTAAGGATTAATTTCACAGTGTATACAGCTTCAGTGATTATAA